TTCTGGCCTTCCCAATCCGGATGGAAATATCTTTCACGAGACCACCTGGACTGATGCAACTGCCTAGGTAAACAAATTTATCTACTACCTTAATCGGCTCATCCGCAAGTGTTAAGTTGGGTTACGAGCCCACCCATTCTTGCAGTACCACTTTACACTTTGCGGGTGTGAAGCGCATGCCAAACTGTGAAGTGGAATTATTTAACTTATTTAATTTTGTTTCCATTACCACGGGATCAGACCCAAGAAGAGCTATGTCGTCTACTTATTCGATATCTATAAGTAGACGCCTAGGGAGCACCTCGACCCCACAGGTATTAGAGACTGATAGTGAGTCTTCCATGATCGTATTAGTGACGAAGTTGAAGAGGAAAGTGAAAGAGGACAGCCGTCTGACCACTTGATGTAGTGAACTCAGGCGAGAGCTTCCCGTAGACCGCGGGAGTTGGCGTACAATGCCTTAAGGAGGGTCAAGAATTTGAGGGGCGCTTTTGCTACAAGGACACTACCGTAGATCCTGATGGTCTGCAGCGTCAAAGACAGCTTTCAGATCAAGAAACAACCATTGTTGGTTGCTGGAAGCAGTGTCGCAGTCTCAGAATCTGTCAGAGAGTGAAGATATGACCAATGCATCCTCGTGCAGGACGAACCCAGCTTGGTTTTTCCGGATCTGTTTCTCCCTGGGTTCAATCAACCTTCGAAAAATAAGACCAGAGCACATCTCTGATGCCAAAGCTACCGCGCTGCATCCACGGTGTTTTTCACAGCGTTTGCATACACTTTTTGAAGCTAAGGATAACTGTTGACACATCCCATTCTGCGGGCACCTCTTCGTTCAATATAGCACCAATAAGCTTTGTCAGATGGGTCACCAGAGATTCTCCGCCTTCTTTCAAAAGGGCTGGATACAGGCCGTCCGGTCTTGGTGTCTTCTTACGTTTTAGTAGGGCTATTTCTTCCGACGAGCGATTAGGATTTACATTCCATTCGCTCGTAAGCACTAACTCTATGAGCTGTGTTATGTAGCCAGCTAAACGTTTTCTTCGTAGTGTTCGGCCCGTCTTCCCAGTTGACGTTTTTGCTAGTGTTCGGGGCCAGCCGTCCATAACAACGAAACATCACATCATTCGGACGGATGTGTCACGTGCAGAACACGGGCCAAACGAAGGCATACCCTGATTGGTCAGAATGCCAGCCAATCCGAGTCAAGCACCTTTGACTCGACGCTTCTCGCCTCGTCACGGACATTCTCGCACGACCGTGTGGAACACTCTGTGACTACCCTATAAATACAGTTGTAATGATTTTCCTTTGTCTCCATAAAGGGCTGTGTAGAGCTACCGTGCCTTTTGATATACCATAGTGGGTGGAGCAGGAAGCCAAGGGACCGGTACGGAGTTGCACGACCGTTCAGCAAGGCATAACAGCTAGTGAATTAATAAACCATCTTTTTCACTTGTCGTTTCACTGATCGTTGCTTTCCTAGGGCCAGTCGATCGTACCAGTTGATAGAGGGTACGACTGTAGCAAAAGCCTTCTCCGCATCCCTAGCTTTCGACACCCACCAGAGCTCTCGGTTTTTGCTTAGACTCTTCACTATTTGGTGTTTAAGGGATCTGTGGGCGCCGTCGTACTCGTTGCCTGCTAGCATAAATTTCCTGAAATCAATCATGGATAGCGATCTCGACGACATCCAGTGGTTTGTGGTCTAACTGGAAAAGTTGGGCAACGTGCGCACTGATGATGTCTCCTCGTATGGTGACGAAACGTTTGCAGGCCAATTGCCAAGCTCAGCGAACAGATCAACAGCCGCCTGATCAACAACCAAGAGCCCTCCGTCAGTTCCATTATGGGCATCCAGGAACGAACCGCACGAAGTCAGTAGCTCGCAGTTATGCTTACTAGACACATATAGAACAGCACATCACTGATTTTGTAAAACTCTGCTCCCGATTCCGACAAGCTACCAAGAGCCCGCCACACCAACCACCGGTCCCCTGGCCTCGACCTGAGAAGCCTTGGTCTCGGGTTTACATTGATTACGCAAGACCGACACATGGCGCTTCCTATTTGACCAGGTGGCCAGAAGTCATTCCGGTGTCCTCTTCAACAACATCTAGTACGTTGCGTGTTATCCAACATTTTCAGTCAGCATGGTTTACCAGAGTCATTCGCCTCAGAATGTTTCGCAGTTCATCACTGAGTTCCGTGAGTTTTGCACTCGCTATAACACTTCTGTTCACAACCCTACGACTCGCAATCGAATGGTCTAAGCCCTTCAGAGATTCCTGTCTGTGTACCGAACGACCCTGAATGATGCTTTGGCGAACCACCAGTCACCTGGAGAGACACTCATGGGCTGTCTTGGTCTCAACAACTGATCCTCCGGACAGTACATTCGCTCCTTAATCATTGAGCTTTTCCGAGATCGCTCGTTTTATGAAGTGTCGCCCAGCAAACTAAGCCAAAATGATTCTTTACAGCTTTTAATGCCCACAGATGCCTGGAGCCTGTAGAACAATTTCAGCCCTGAAGCTTAACTGGATTGCAGTTGGCAGTAGTCTGCGCTGTATGTTGTCTGGATTAAGTGAGATCACTGAAGGCGATGAAAGAAGAAAGAAAGCGTTCAGCTGTAGCGCCCTTCCGGTGTCTAGCTGCCATGCCGCCCGAAGGAAGCACGAGGGCTGGGATACTGCCAGGTTGCCCAAGCCTAGACAGGGGAAGTCGAGTGGCGGAGGTCGGATTCGAACCACGGACCTTCCGGTCAGCACATTCGCGCTCTAACCACTTGGGCCATCTCGCCCCCACTGAAGGCGATGAAGTAAACAGTATCCAGTTGTGACGTCGGAATACGCAGATCGCATTTCTGAAATTGATTGTGGTTTTTACCAGGAACTATAAGGGTGTTCTTGGTCAGCAAGAACGGATACAGTCGTCTTGACGGGTGATATAAACACCCATGCTGTACGATTAAGCTCGGAAGTACAGTCGATTTATAGTCGCCGCTCGCGGTCCGGATGATGGCGAACAACTTCTTCAGCTATGTGCTGGACGCCCTTTGCTCCTCGGCTGTGTGGATTTTCAGCACAAACGCTCACACTGAATCACTTGGAGATCATAATCCGCAAACCAGTCGTGGACTCAGTTGGGTCATGTGGCTGCTGGTTACCGATGGTGAACCTCACTTAAAGATTACTGTTCCTTCTTGGGTACGCAGCTTAACTCTGTTCATGCCACTGTGGCGGCTCGCTGAGTAATCAGGAACCAGATAGCGCCGGTGGATTCTGAAGGCCAAGAAGATGGAGAAGGCTTTCGCTGCAAGCAACACCTGCACGCCATTTAATCTGATTCAATAAACTGGCCAAAAGAAGACAGGTGTCAGCAAAACAGTTTGCAAAGCACGTGGGCCGTCAACTCATTCTCAGAATCATTATCTTGAGCGATGGACTGAACACCTTAAAGAATGGTGGGGTACCTTCAGCAAAATCTCTTTGAGAACCCAAAAACCCCGAATGAAACGTTGATACTGGTTCGTCATCAGCAACAAAAGTCCAACGTGAAATACCATTTCTCATCCAACCCGAGTGGCATGTTCCTTTCACATTTCGAAGAAGGCGATGCAACTTGTCGTGATCAATCAGAATACCCAACTAAGTTAGATTTGGAAAGGTAGCAGAATGACAGTGGAACAGATCGTTTCCATCGTGATCCGAATCTCTAGAATGGGCGCAAACCATATGGCAATAACCCGGTAATCGTGGCTTCCAAGGCTATCTCTGGTATTAGTTTGCCAGGTGGGAAATTAACTCACCAGTGTTTACTTACGCTGGCTGCTATGCCTCAGTCGTTGAGCCAAAGGCGCACCTGCATCAAATGTCATCTTTAATGCATGGCTACCTATATCAGCACAGGCTGATTCTGCCGTCGCCTCCAATCGTTGACTGCATCTCCCCAGCTCTCACACATTCTGATGATCGCAACTGTAGTCGCTGGAACCAACATCCCGGTACGTCGTTTATAGGTGGTAAACGCAAGTGAACTGACCTGAAAATTTTGACCACTTACCATTCACTTGGGCAATTCAGTTAATACGATCTCGGGCTAGGGCGGTGAGTGTGACAAGGATCAATAACTTTCCGAATTGCATAACGGCATTTCCGTCCATCCAGTTATTCCATTCGAGTATCTAGACTGCATTCCTCAACACGGACATTTTCTTAGGAAAGATGTTAGAGTGGTCCATTTGTGCCCAAACAAGCTGTCTACCAGTAACCGCTCTTTTTGGTATTAAACCTGTCTGCTGTGCCACGGTGCTTTTAGTTGTTTGATTAGCACACCAGTAGCATACTTTTTTATCCACGCTTAACAGGGAGGAAGTCGGAGCGGATTGATGCTGATAAAAAGTGTGAAGTCAAGTCTCCTGTCCACGTTATGTAATCTTTCTGGAGCACAGACTCTCAAATGGTCTAAACCTAGACAGGAGCAATGAAAATCTCAACAATGGACTGTGATCACGGACCTTCCTGTGGTTACTCAGTGCTTAGAGCGCGAAGGTACTAACCGCAAGGTCCGTGATTCGAACCCAACTTCTGCCTCCCGACTTCTCCTGTGTAGGCTTGGCCAACCTGGCAGTATCCGAGCCCTCGTGCTTCCTTCGGTCGGCATGGCAGTTAGGCACCGAAAGGGCGCCGCAGTTGAACGACTCAGTTCGATTTGCCTTCCCGTTAGCAGCTCACTCCATGACTTGTCACCATAAATTCGTTGGTCTCAAAGGAAATTGACGATTGTGACATACGCTCCCCTGTCTGTTTTGATAGTGCAGCAATCAGCTTGGTAAAACGCTTCTCTAGGGGAACGTACCAGTCAGTTTTTTGTTGCAACTATACTGTCTTGATCATGGTCTATTTCAGTCATTGTTTTGAAGGTCTCTGCAATTACCCTTTCCGGATTCCTGAACACTCCAGATGCTTTCCTTTTCATCCTCCCTTATCTTCGTTGTGCTGGTTGCCGCGTGCAATACCCTGTCAGGTGAGCTCTAAATCATTGCTTACCCATGCTTCCTAGTGGAAAAAGTTTCAGATGGCAAGATTGAGACGTTCTTGGAACCAGTGAAACTACAAGGCATTTCGTTTACCAAGCGCTATATGAACACAAGTGTGCCGACCATGGTTAGATTCAACGTCACTACCACGCTAGCGTCAGATGATTTGACTCTATCTTGGCTATTCGATGGGGCTCAGCTGAATGTGTTGCGCATTAAAGGTCCTTTGCCTGATAATCCGGGGACAGCATACAGCACGGAATTACAGGGTGAAAATTCAGTGGAAATCACCTTACATTTAAGGGATAAAAGTAATTCCATTTGGTAACCTATTCAATCTGATTCAGGTCTTTCTGTTGGAAACTACACGCTGGTTGTCTCAGCCACCACGGAGGCGGTGACTCAGTCAGCACAGGCCAGTGGATTTGTGAGAGGTAGTTTACGCCCACTTTGATAATTGTGGTGTTTTTGTTATATATTTGCTTCTTCATATTATGCGAAGACGGATGGTCATATTCCGAAAACCTTGACCATACAGGGCCTTGTAGCAGATCACAAGGGCTACACTCTCGTCCCACTAGTTGTTCGTTGTACGATCAGTTTTGATTTGCGGTTTTATACTGTTGGTCACAAGACCACACGTCCTCTGACCGATTCCCATTGGACTGAAAAATCCCCAGTAAGTCTAGCGATACAATCTGACCAACGGTGAATGATCAGATTGCGTCAATTTACCTGGCTAATTCAGTAACGAGTTAGCTCGTGACTCACATTGTGGGCGCGTCATTTATATTCCCCAGCGTTCAGCACCTGGAGGAATTGCTCTGTGAGAAATCTTCAATAGGACCAGAGTGTCTCCCCGACAGGGGTCCTGTTGCGAGCGCGGTAAGGTTATGAAAGACCGCTTTGCGGTGGAATAAATGTCGAATAACCTGCTTGTGTAACACTATAGTGTTGCAAAATTACTAATTGCATCAGCTTTTCAGCGTGAGAGTCGGCATATAGCCCATGTTAGTAGCTGAATTCTTAGTTGTGGAACAAGACTGCATTGTTCCCTGAGATGGGGAATTTTCTCGATGGTGGGTCGAAGTTGTATAAGTCCGTCTCGGCTTTTGTGTCGGCTACACTGTTTACTAGGTGATGCTTAGTTTGAATATCGCTACTGGGCATCTCTAAAATTCGTCTCACGCTAGTATGTAGCGCCAGGTGTATTGAAGAGACTTCCGGAATATCCCTTTGGAATTTAGTATTTCCCGTGAGTTGATAATGACTTTCATTGTTTTTTGACCCCTTTAGATGCCTCCAACGCGATAGCTTATCCATCAGAGGCTGAATTGACGTTACAATGTGATCCGTTTTACTTTATACACAACAGATACTCTCACTGTCTTTCCCATTGATGTCTATGACGCTTTCATTCACAGGTACTGAATACCTCGACTAGTTTTCTTCCAAAGGAGACTAACTTGCTCGCCATGTACCTATCACTCAGGTTCCGTAAATTACTGTGGTTTGGATATGTGCCTTGCATTCAGGGGGTCGCTTGCCCAACCAAGCCAATTTCATCCCGTCATTTGAAGTTGGAAAAATATAGCCAACTCATAGTTTGACGACGAAGTTTAAAAATTCTCGCTAACAAACTTGATCGTACTGACAGCTGCACGCTAACTCAGTTCTGGTTATCCTTGGAAGGACGGATAACCTCAATTGGAAAAATATAGCCAACTCATAGTTTGACGACGAAGTTTAAAAATTCTCGCTAACAAACTTGATCGTACTGACAGCTGCACGCTAACTCAGTTCTGGTTATCCTTGGAAGGACGGATGACCGGAATTGAGACAGTCATGGGATAAAGTGGGAATTCGTGTACAGGAGGTTTGCCCAGCCTCGCGTAACGTCTGCTCGAGGATGCAATTCTATCCTCTGTACGTCATAATGCTGACTGCATGACATCTGGAAAGGTATGGAAGCCAGAACCATCAGAGTGGTCTCTCAATATTGGTTCAACCTCATCCATTCACTTCTACGGATCAGACATGTCAAACTCGCTTTTCTAGCCTTTTTCACATCCAACTGTGGCTCGCATTGTACAGGATTCTATAGTTGTCGGCGACCGACACTAGCTGGCACCAAGTGCTAACAAGTGAAACTCCCTTGTCATCATCATCATCATCATTGTCAGCTGTAATAACCGCGTACTCGTCGTACAGTGGTTGTAGCTGCCGCAGTTTCGTTCACCGATGTTTTGGGGGGAGGGATAGGTACAGTGGGCTGTCAAGTGGGGGGGGTTGGAAAATGAGCTATGCATTGAAGGCAATAGCTTGGATGCACGAGCGCCATTGAGGGCGCGACTGGGCCATATCTGACAACGTCTCTAGCCATTGATGTGGCCCGTCTCCGGGTCCCCATCCAGGAAGACGGCAGTGACCAGCGCAGCTGAGTTTGCTGCGCTCCCTTGTGGCGAAGTAGTGTCCTTAGTGCCGCAGCGTCGGCATCAGACCAACGTACGTGACCCATCTGGCAACCGAAAATCCATCATTACCCCGGCCCGCGTGGCTCACATCGTCACGCAACAATGGGGTCGTGGACTGCAAACGAGGATTGCTAGACTAGACAGTAACCACTGACAGTATTGACAGGTGTAGTGTAACCGGTGTTAACTGCGCTGGTTAGTTCCCATCTTGTGGTAAAGATGGAACGGTTCTTGAAGAGACACCCATTTGCAAATTACGTCAGTGCTAACGAATGTTTTGTCGCGGTAGTTTCGGCAAATCCACGCAGCTGTATGGCACTGTTCAATGGTGCTGTTTTTGTCGTTAATGATAGTGACCATGACTAGTAGGCCATTGCCTCCAATCCGCACAGATCTCTCCATTGTCCTTAGTGAAAGAGAATGTAGCAGCTAGGAATAACCTTCTCTGGTATGTGGTTTAAGCTGGCAGGTTGTATTTTAGTGATTATTGTCTGTTTATTGACATTGAACTGTACTTGTCGAATGTTCGGTAGGGAGGCGATACACCTGTCACCTCAGGATACACACCAGTGTCCCGGAGGATTTCTGATTGTTTCTTCAAGCGATTTGTACCACCCCATGTCCATGCGCATCGTTTGGCGCATTCTAGCTACGTTTTGTTTGTTGTCTTAGCTACAGCCATTGACCACCATTTGCTTGGGTAAGGTTGTCCGACAATCTCTTCAGCCTTTTCAATCGCTAAGCTCAGCAAACGGATCAAAAGTCGCTTGATCAAAAACCAATAAGCCTTCTCAAAAGGTCTCCCTTGTTTTCGGTCATATTGCTTAATTATCAGAGTAGCCTCTCATCTTAAGAACCAGGCGAATTGTTCTCTGTGGATCAGAACCGTTGTGTACGACTGGAGAGTAAATACAGTTTTCCTCTGTTTAGATCGTCACTCTCCCTACCACGACCAGATATTTGCGCGGTACTTGTCCACCAAGCCACTCATTTACCACTTGTCCTTTTTGCAGCTGCACCCATCCTGCCACTGTTTCCAAAAGACCGGCGTGTATTGGAAGGTGATCGCTTGTTAATCTCTTGCGAGGTCATAGCTTTTCCGAAACCAGACAGAGTTATCTGGAGATTCGCCCCGATCAAACCAGATATGATGAAGGATTCGGATGCATTGGTAGAAGCTAGAGCTGACCTTGCCTTGCTAGGCGAAAACTCCTCCGAGTATCAGTTTCTTACCAAGAGTGTGCCCAACGATCAGTTGCTGTTTCCGCAGTTGCCCAGCGCTTATAATGGCCTTTATGAGTGCAGTGTCGGAGACCCTGAAAACGGGGATGAGTCGCTTATCCTCGTCAACGTGAAAGGTTAGTTTCAGTTATCCGCATTATTCCTAGTGTTATTCGGTTGCTTTAATAAACTGCAACTGCGTAGAAGTCCCTAAACTTCTCCCCTCTAACCATCTTTTTTCCGTCAATTATAGTTTACTCAAATTTGTTCAGCCTCTGACTCAATGGTGAATCCACACACTCAAACACAGATAACGAGCGGTGCCTCAAACCATCCATGTTTGTCGGTAGCCAGTTAATTGTCTTGGGTCGCGTCGCAACCAACAAATTGGCCCACTTCTCCAAGATCACTACATCCTCACCATCATTACCACCCTCGTTTCCATTCTGAGGTCCGAAAAGTAATCTGGCCAACTCATCCATGAAAGTGAAGTAGCTCAAATGGTGAAGATATTGCAACAGCCTACTTCCCTATCCAACCTCAAGAAGAGCTGCACCATCAGGTGCAATGGGCCAATGTCAAAGCACCGATCGCGGGTTCATCCATTCAGCCCAGTCGGCCGCTCTAATACAAGCGCCAAATCCGAGCATGCATAAAATAGGTTTTCCCAGAAGAATACTCTTCAAAGTTTGTTGGGCGGATCGTAGGCCGGATCCTTCATACCATGTCCACTTTTCACCATGTCGACACATTTGCAGAACAGCTGTTCTGTAAATCCTAGTTGAAGTTTTTCAAATGTACGGTGATGAACGATAGTTCTGAACTGTCGGACTCGACAGCGTCCAATATACACTGGTTACTGCATAGTTTGCCAGTATCATCAGTCCGCTTTACTCAGAGGATTGCAATTACTTCTCCAGAGATTTCGTGCTGGAAAGAACACACCTAAAAGAGACCAGTTTCGTCTAATGTCTTCAAAGTCCAATAAACTTGGAAAGTTTTTCAAAAATGGACTCATTCTGATCGATCGCTTGACATTCTCTTCAGTCTAGGCTCTAGATCGTTCAGTGGTTAAGGCGCGGACTGACTGATTGGAACGTATGTGGTTCGAAACTAGCCCTTGCATCTCGACTACTCCTGTCTAGTCCTGAGCACCGTAGCAGTATCTTAGCTCTTGTGCTTACTTCAGGTGGCATGATAGCTAGGCACCGAAAGGGCATTACATCGGAACGGTTGTATCGTTTTAAGCGGGGTCCGCCGAATCAAAATCAGGTTTTGGCTGATTAGGCTCTAATTCCCCGCGCTTAATATCTAACTGCCTGTGGAACGGCGTGGATGTATAGCTCTCGTGAGTTTCCAAAACTCCAATCGAACATTTTCAAATAGCCATCATTGTCCAGTGCCACCTCAACTTCTGTCCGTATACTGTCTACTAAGTTCTTTGTTCAACTTTGGGTATGAGTATGCTACCTGCACCGTCAACCCACAAGCGTGAACCCATCAGTCATGACTCCCTCGGTCGACAAAAGCATGCTTGTTAAACAAAAGAAATTTTATACGGATACCGGATTCAAAACTCTGCAACAGTATCGTATCCTAATTACAAAGACTATAAAATTTGTTGGAACACAATCAAGCAAGGTAACTTACCTAACGTAATATTGGTGCTGATGTACTTGGCGTGGCCTTGCACCACGTTTCTGACGGATACTCGGTTGATCGTGTTCTACAGGTACACTGGTTGACGCGACCAGACTATGTGTTATCCATGTCTAAGGACCGTTCGCCTACGCACGTCTTATTTGGTTACGCTACGTTGAGACGACTGAATGCTGCTGTTGTACGGCTGTATCCTGGTTCAATCCTTCACTGAAGATTTCGTTGTGTTGAAGCTATGAACTCACCCACTCCCAGGGGTGCAATCTTGTCAGTGGTTACTTTGAAGTTCACTCTCATCTTGTCATCTGCAGCAACTAAGTATTATTTCCACATCCGTACCGTTCTGCACCGCTGGAAAAAGGTTGCGGTCACCAGACTCATTTGTGAAATTATTAACCATTAGGATACGACAGTCAGCTTACTCTGCAATGTGCAATGGACTCTTGGTTATTGACCATTTTGATAGCGTCCACCCATTACAGGCGTTCGTTTTAACACACAAAACAACAGATCAAATTACCGAGGCGTGTCTGTAGGTCATCGATTCGTAACTCGACAACAATTTTTGTCGAGCTGTTTGTTTACTGGTGCTCGAGTCTCATCGAAAAGGGCCTTAACCTTCACAAATGGCAATCAGCTTTACTCCAAATTTGATGTTTACTCTTTTTGTCACTGACAAAGGTACCAAGTGAGAAGCGCTGAGGACCTTGTCATAAGACCTTCCGGTCTATTATGGTATCATCCCAATTTCAGTCACCTTGCCCTGGGTGCCGTAGTTGTGCCGTGATGTTTTGCTGGAAACATTTTCATCTCTTCTCACCAAAACCCGATTGTTTCGTTCAGTGATGATTCGCTCTTGCCACTGACACACTTTCCCACATCGTTTTTGCTGTCTTTCTAATGGATGTAAATTCTCGACTCAGGTTATCTTAGTGAGACAGGCTAACCCATTCTATACCGCTTTGGCTTTGGATTAGGCAACAGTGACCTCGATACAGTCATTAACGAATTGTGAGTACATCTGACCCGCTCTTTTCGATTTTTTCATTCTCATTGTTTGATCTGATCTCTGGCTAACTAGTATAAAACAATTCAAATCAAGTGCATCCGACTCTGAATTTGGGGCAATTTGATTGGAAAAGGCGCGCGATACTGATCCGGCTTTGCGGTCAGTTCTCTCAAGTGTTGGGCAGACTGACAGTGTCTCAGCTTCCTCACCTTTGTGGGTTGTTTGACTGCTATGTACCGAAGGCATGATACAGCTGACCGATATAACGCCTATCTCATGAACGACGAAATCAGTTACCTTGGTTAGGGGGTAGTCTCAGGGTAGCGACTATTAAATCTGTAATGTTTTATCGGGAGAGGGGTGCTAAATCAGTTTGTTCTAACCACTGACTTAAAGGTTGGTTCTAATCGTAGATATGTCGGAAGACTTCGTTTCCAGAGTGCAAGTCACACGGAGTTTTTTCATGGAAGGTTATAGGTTCAACTTTCTCATCATTCTTCTCTATTAACGTGCGTTTTCCTGGAGTTGAAACTCTCCAACAGCTCAATACCGGTGTCCATCTTCCTAAGACTCGCTAGGCCGGCGTAGTTCCCGAGTTTATATCATAAACGGAGGTTCCAGCTGGGCATCATTTGAGTATTCTGTCCACGGTAGCTTAATTCGGCAAAGTACATTTCAGCACTTACGTAAAATTTAATGTTCAACCAGAAAATAACGTTGATATTAAGATGGGGACTACACCTGCCTCATGAATGAAATGGTTAGTGGGCTTTCAGTGAGTTATGGGTACTGCTATCTTACGTTTCCTTGTACTAATCACCCAAAGGACACCATTTCCCAAGCACAATGTTTCGTCCAGTCCGATCCGTATGCGATATTATAAGTCATCCAGAGCCAGTGTTTGGGCCGAAGATCTGACCAAGCAAATGAGTCACTGTGGATTGTTTTACTCAGGTGGTGATGCGTGTGTGTTCGTGTAAGCATCGAAATCGTTCAGGTATAGCACCCTTTCGGTGCCTAACTCCCATGCCACCAGAGGGAGGCACGAGGGCTGGGATACTTCTAGGTGCCCAAGCCTGCCCAAGCCTAGACAGAGGAAGTCGAGAGGTGAAGGTCGGGTTCGAACCATGGACTTTCCGGCCAGTAAATTCGCGCTCTAACCACTGAACAAACTCGCCCCCGTGTAAGCATTCCACATTAAGGTTGCGGACGAAACACTAACTGCGTCCTAGAGCCATTTCCAGCACCACTCCCCTAAATGCGACACTTTTCGTTTCATTTTGGAATAAATGGTTTACCTTTTCTTCTCTTTCGACCAAATAGGATAGGCACTTCTGTCGGTAACATGTTCGTTGTATAGAGGATTTTATTGGATGCAGGCAGGAACTACGACCTCTATCCAGTCTCGAGCACCACTGCCTTCGTATTGTCGCTCATGTCAACTTAGCCAGTGTTCCGCTAGCTAGTCGTTTCAGTTGAGACTCCTGCTGCTAATTTCATACAGCCATTTGTAATGCTTCTATTTTTTTACCCGCTTTCATATAGGACATGAAAATAAGCTAGGCATGTGACACTTAACTTGAAGCAGATGTTAGTGTCCCATCCTTTTGAACTCCAGACTGTGGGATAAGTGGATGGCAATATGTGACATACGTCCGACCTGAAAATCTAAATAGGTGACGGTTCGAAGCTCCACGTACCATCTGGAACCGAAGTCAGTTGGATGTAGGCTCGTTAGTTTTACAGCAAAATCGTGACCTGCCATACGCATAAACGTCTTTCTGTTGTCACTGAGTGTGCTATTTATTCTCTTGATACATGCAGATCGATGGGCTGCTCTCTGGCCATTCATCGGCATAGTCATTGAGGTTGCTGTATTGGTCACGGCAATTCTTCTGTACGAACGACATCAGATGCGCTCGAAGCCGTTGAAGGTGGATGCGAATGCAACGGCCACCACGGCTGCAACAACCACTGAGGCCTCATCCCCTGGTATGAACCCAAGAACTACTCAAATCCAACAACAAAATAATATCAACGCTGTTGGAGAACCAAACAACGAGACCACCGTAGACGGAAACAAGGGATCAAATGCAGAAGCCGGGTATGTTATTGTTATATCTGATGATTCGCCAATCTGTTGTATCTGACTGCTAATCCCGCTCCAGTGCCTGCTGCTGAAAAAAAAACTCACTGAAGGGAATACAACAGCTTTATTCCGAACAGGCGAGTGCGGGAGCACGAGTGCTGAAATACAACGGCCTCAAGTTATTTTCACTGCAGGGACACTGTCTGAACTTGGTCCAACGCCGACTCACACTGTCTGGCTATGACGTGCTGCATATTGCGGGGGCCTTGACTGTCTGGCCAGCATCTAGTGGAGTTGGGGGTCTCACTAGATTTCGGGCATTCAGTGGTTACTTTTAGGAATCTGACCTCCGTGATAGTCATCATGCATGGTTCGCTTTCCTTTGTAGTTAGGCCCTTAGCAGCTATTATTGTTGAAATAATGCAAGTTTTCTTCACTTAGTCTACTTTTACCGAGTACCTTGCAATTCACGCTGTTTTTTAAGTCGAATGACAAGTGAGCTCTGCTCACTAACGTTTTGCCAGTCCCCAGTCCCGTGAGTCGTTTCACTGTGATCAAATATTTCATTCTTGTATTAGAATTATATTTGTTTCAGTTCATGAACCACTGTTGTCGATTGCCTATTTATCCTTTATTTGCATGTGAAAGCCAAGTTCCAAAGCGTTCATGTGTTTTTGTCGTATCGACGGTGTCAGTTTATCTGTTCGCCGAACTTCGCAATTGGTTTGCAGGCGTTTCGCTACTACGCGAGCAAACGTCGTCTTTGCGCGGTTGTGCGCGCAACGCATTCTGAAAATACCTTGGCTACTATATGGTCTAATCGATTCACCGTTTTTTTCTACGTTTGCTGCGGTCTGATCCGTAACGGATGTGTGAACTGATACCTCGGACGAACAAAAGATTGACAACCTTGGAACGCCCCCGAGCGTGCACTCATTAAATAGTGACTACCACTGCCGGGCCAGGATCTGCTGCTAACCGACTGTCAGAACGAGATAGGAGACACACTTAGTGCATCTACGCAGACGTGATGCATGAATCCTCGTACAAGGACACGATGTCAGGGTCATAGACAGTCGGCGCGTCTGTAGTGGCTGGAGCAGTTCTTACGAGATTGCGGATCGTGCACTGTTTCTCATTTCATCTACTCCTTTGTCACACTTTTTCCCAGCTGGGCTGCTCCAATATTTTTTGTATAACGTTGAAAAATTAATGTCATTTCCGATACGGGTTTGGTGTCAAGACAGCGATGAATGAAAGTGGCAGGCCATCACTAATCTATTCCCTGACTGACTCAACCGCACAGTTATTGTGGTGTTCGACAACATTTCCGTTGCTTCTCCTTCGCGAGGATCATGTGGTTATCTACCAGAAACTGAATTAAAAATTTAGATTTCAGTTGCCATCCGGAGAGGATAATCCCGATTTTTATCTTTGCTTGGTTTCGAGTCAGTCCTCCTGGGTCTAATGAACCAGAAGAATGCGCCATGTGCAAACTGGAACCAGCAGGATTGATCGCCGCTGGTCGCAGCTCCAGCATAACGCATGTTTTAAAGCCACTTGATCACTGAAGGCTATCCAACTGCAGTACGATCAGCTAGCGTTATCAAAGTAGGCCTTTTCTGACAACTGTGTGAATAAGGCGAAATATTATGGCAACATTGTAAGTCTCTAGAATAAACCAGACTGAACTATGGAAAAACTTACTGGTCACCTCGTAATGACGACCTTCTCTAGAATAGCCGATTTTGTTGTTCACTAGGGGCCAACTACTATGGATATTGAACACTGCACCCTAAAAGTCGCTCTGCATGTGCTTTGAATACGTCCGTTGGTCAACACCGACTTAAGTTATAAGCTATTTAAGCTGATGAGCTTTAACCAGGCACAGCATCTGAGCTAATCCATTTTACTAGGCCGGTCAGCTCATCAATATTGGGTTTAACGACTGACCAAAGGTTATTCCTATGGTTTTGATGGTAGTCATTTGTGCTCATTGGGACTGTCCATCGGCGCCTATACCCAGCGCTTCGTATGCGGATAGTTTTCGCGATAAAAGGCGGCAAAAAGCGTCTGCACCAATGAGCTATGGTCACAAACCCCATTTTTATTATTACCGCAGTTTCCTGCATCAGAATAAAGCTGATGGGATCTACTGTCTTTGGTTGCTTAATTTTTGTATGACCGATCAGTAAGACGACTGATTATTTCCAAGCCATGTTCACACTTTATCCCTCTGTCTCACTTTGCTTCGCAGTGACAACAAACCGGATGAGCTACGTCTTCGTGGCGGTGTTGCACGCTGTTGACACCGCTCTTNGTTGCACGCTGTTGAGCACCGCTCTTCCTTTTATCACGGGTTCTTCGCCATTTGCATGTTCCATTGGTCAGCACCTCGTAAATTCCATCGAACAGTTTTTTCGGAGGACTAGTACAAACTTCCCAGAGCCTCGGCGATAGCTCCATCGCTAAATTGTTGTCCGATTACACTACTGTTCATGTCGGATTTTATCGTTTCCTTTTTGCCCTGATCTTGTTCACAATCAACTTCTGTACGTGTTGCATTGCATTATGTGGAGTTGTAATCCACTCCCTCAAATTCCCCATCACGATGTCCGCTGATTCCTACCATCTCTCGTGTGGTTATTTTGTGATTATTGGCCGAGTTCATTCTATAATTAGCACCATAACGGACTGGTACTTTCCCCTGATTCGGATGGACAACGTTCACCCCCATCTCTCGCTTAGCTTCTACCTTTAACCACATACGAATTTTATCTTTCGTTAGGCAGACCAATCTCCGTCGAATAATTTTGTTCCGATCGTACAGACCGTCATCGGTTAGCAGATCTCACGTTAATGCGGACGCTAACTGCTGTCTTGCTGATTAGTAGTGCAACTCTGTATCGCTCGCTCCCTTGGCTTCCTGCTCAGCCCACTATGGTATATCAAAAGGCACGGTAGCTCTACACAGCCCTTTATGGAGGACAAAGGAAAATTATTACAACTGTATTTATAGGGCAGTCACAGCGTGTTCCACAGGGTCATGCCAGAACCTCCGTGAGGGGGCGAGAAGCGTCGAGTCAAAGATGCTCGACTCGGGTTGACTGGCATTCTGGCCAATCAGGGTATGACTTCGTTTGGTCCGTGCCCTGCACGTGACACATCCGTCCAAATGATGTGATGTTCGGTTATTAGGGACGGCTGGACACCAACCGAATCAAAGAGCTGTTTTAAATAAATGGGGATTTTCCACACTCCCTCGAGTCATTTAACCTCCGTTGCTTTGTTACGGTGGCCTGACATCCGGTTCGCGACTCAGCCCATGTACAAAATCAACAATAACTAAGCTCTCACCTGACCCGGTTCCAATTTTTTCGGATTTTGCCAAACAGTACTAATTGCGTATTTGAAGCATACTGCTCACACGGGCCATTGGGAACAACCAACAAGCTTGTCGCTTTCAACACTATGTTCCATAGGTCAATCGCGTATTTGAATCATACTGCTCACACAGGCCATTGGGAACAACCAACAAGCTCGTCGCTTTCAACACTATGTTCCTCATGATTGGTCGCTAACTTGGTTTAGCCATAGGTGTCAGTCGCTGAGAAATGTGTACTCGATTCCCTGGCTCTAGGATCAGTCAATGTATTGATAAGTTTGCGTGAGAATATGCTAGGACTTTTGCGGTAAGCCGGTTGATGCTGTTCTGGAGCGGGCGTACTGAACGTATCAGGTTCAAATCAAATCAAATCAGCAAATCAATCGGTGTACGCTAAACCTGGCATCCGGGGTAATGTCCAAAATTTGTCTTGGTTAGACCGACGACGCAATTCACGTTGACTCAGTAAGTCCTACTGACTCAACTAAGTTTAACATTACACTTTCGAGGGCATTGCAATGGTCGGGTTTGTTTTCACCGAAGTAATCATACCGAATCTTCCGATGTTCGTTCGGTTGTGGCGTAATTCCGTAGTCAATTGACGCAGGGTAATCGCATAGATCGTAGTCACCGTCTTGATTGTGATGATCATTCGTAGGCAGACCAGCCATAGAGGCCGTCTAGATCAAGGTCAGTAGTTTCAGGGCTAACTTGATGATCTCTCCGTAAAACTAATTTGCTTGGGGAGTAGGTAGAGCACGATCTAACCGACATTTTGGAACGGCTGCACAGGTGACTCGAACAGCTGTCGAATTTCAGTCTGGTCGCCAACCACCATTCCTTTCTGGACGCTGTGCTTTCGGAACGTTGTGATGGTATGGTCTGCAGTCTAAGCTACGGATGTCACTTTAATTTTCCCCAACGATCAGCTGTGCATATATACTAGAATGGTTCCGAATGCCCTAATTCTTGTAGCGAACTGCAGTAACTTGGAACACAATAATTCACTAGGATGGTTCTGTGGTATCCAATTACACTTGCGACACACTAGACAGCAGGTCGTCTCCTGGCTGTGACTGATCGAGGAGCAGTCGACACCAAATACCAGAGGAAGGATAACCGGAACAAGTTCGCTTTTCAGCATACTTTATGTGATAGTGCGGGCTGTTTTACATGCAGTCTACGTAGATTTGTATACTGCAAACGTTCACGTGCTAATGAATATTACGTAATGCTTAGCGGTATTAGCTTGGTTTGCCCTCCTTCTTTTTGGTATCGTTTTACAATTAGCCAGTAGTCACTGAAGCCAGACCACTGCCGACCTTTCTTCTCGATGGGGCTATGCCGCAAGGGTCTTGATACGACTCTCAGGGCTGTGGGCTCGTATGCAATGGACTGGAAGTTGACGATCGGTTCTATGAGCTCTGGACGACTTAGCTAGTCGGACAGCAACTGGCAACCCAAGGATTCGATCTACAAGCGTGTGTTCTACTACGGACAACGGGTTGTTTTACTTTGACGCGTAGGATTCTTGTCTGGCTACTCGCGTATGTTGACTGCGAACACGTGGAACACCGGCGACAAAAAACGCGAATAAAAAACACTGTTTGAGTTGGTCAGCGTATGACGACGTGTTCAGAATTCAATTTTCATAGCTAATCAGTGTATGTTAGGACGAGCGAAAGTAACAAAGCACAGTAACACAACTAAATGCTAATTAAACGAACGTCTCGTTTCCCATTTGGCGCGAACACAGTCACTGAAGATAGTGGAGTTGTAAAAACAACCGCGAGGTTTTCTCACCCAATGGTGTGCAGGAACACTGAAGAGGCTTAAGGGCTTGTCCTATCCAATGGTAACCTCGGCATCTGCATGACATTTTTCCATGGGGTATGAGAGATCCAGTCTGTTCGCGAAACGCCCAAAAACATGCAGGCTTCCCTAGTTAAGCTTATTCAACATCAAGGTCAACACCCACAAACAGCTGACCTCAGTACAACAGCCTTCTTTTGGCTGTATTTCAAACCTCCTGCTTGACTGGTATCCAGTTCTTCATGGAAATCGATAACTGTTTGGGATAAAGAGTCAAACAGTTCATTAACAGGAAAATCCTCAGTTGTATGCGGCTAATGACTCCCTACAAGCTGTACAGTGCTTCTGAACTTTTCAGCATAAATTGGCTTCACTTACAGGACAAAATACTGAAAAATTCATCAACATACAGGCTGCTTTTCCGGCACAGCAACAGATTGTCAAAAGATAGTACGGATTTCTTCGTTCTGTCAGCATAAATTGGCTTCACTTACAGGACAAAATACTGAAAAATTCATCAACATACAGGCTGCTCTTCCGGCACAGCAACAGATTGTCAAAAGATAGTACGGATTTGAAACTTCGTTCTGTCAGTGTTTTGTTCCCCCCTCCCTCAACAACAAGTAACGCACCTCAGAACCGCTTGCTTCTTCGTTTTCTGGAGGGTAACATGTCGCTATGCGTAAGCTGCGTTCCTAAACTGATGTTTCCCTGATCAACGGAACAGGTATATGGTATCCCTACAAATGAACCTTGACACTGGTCATATCCTATCATTGAGCATTTCCGTACAGTTTGGCCTCTTGAATCTTCCTTGGAGTCACCTAACCCAGGCGGTTCAATGACGTTACGATCAAACCCCCTGATTTCATTTAACTGGAACTTTTATCTCTCTAGAAGGTAAAAGTCGTCTTCTCTGTCTGGATCTGTTGTGTGACTGTAGCCTTAGGAGAGCTGGAAACAGGATGCATTTCAGCAACTCAAGTACTGTGTTGGCGTTTGGAGGATATCTGGGAACTTGTCAATAAAGTCTTCGTTCTGTAAGTCAAGTCAGTCTATGCCTAAAGGTGGCGAAACACTGTACAGCTGTTCCGTCCTTTTTGGGAAGCATCAGCAGTGCGTTCGCGTGGGTATCCGGAGACATACGGATCCGCGACCTCTCGACACATAGGCAAGTGTTGACTGGCTCCTCGACTGGTGGCTTCTCAGATGGTAGGGTCATTCACCGTATGAAATTACTCCTCCTCTGAGTTACTTACCATGTGCATTCACCGCATTAGACACTGTCGTTCGGGACTGCTTGTTGAGTGGCCTTGAAAAATCATACTCAGGTTCCCTTTTCTAAACGGCTTAGTAATATCTGTAAAACTCTTCGGCGACGGTTCCTGAAATCTGCGATCTTTCAGACCGACTCGATGTTCCTTTGTAAGTTCGAAACTACATTCGGAGTCACGTGGGAAGCACCCATCACTACACATAAACATGCAGCGCAGTACAGATGGTGTAAAAGAAGTGTGTCCTCCATTGACTGAAGCGACGTATAAAGTTTACACATCTGTTCTGTGGGTAAATTTTTTTCCGAGTGCACGCACTACGGGTGCCAATATAGAAATGCACTTTCGGCAGCTCGTACATCCAGCCCGGTGGTATCCTGATGGTTGAACAGGCCTTCAGAATTCACCCGTTACCGAAGTCAAGCGATGGAATCACTCTCCATCCTCCGAGTAACGACCGATTGCCACACTTAGTCAGCACGTATAGTTGAACAACCTAGTTGAAATAAGACGAGCGCTTCTGTACATTGTGCCCGTTAAACTGAGCAGACTTAACGAGATCTCTCTGAAAGCTATAAATGGTGGTAGGATAACCACATTGAGTTGTGTTTAGTTAATTTCTGTTTTCACCCCCCACTCTTCCGCCTTTCTCGGGTGCTGTCCCGAAGTTTCAACTGGTCAATTTTAGGTAGGACGTGCTCACCTACCCGGTTACGACCTAAAGGCATGGTCTTTCTCCAATACTTGGGAAAAACACTTCGTATTAGCAGGTATGCATTGTAGTTTTCCAGCCTTTTTCGCCTATTCGGAGTATCACGGGGTAAATAGTTTTAGTCCGCTAAACCAATTCTTTCACAAACGTATCGAGTTCTGAAAGCTTGCTTATTGCGGAAGGCAGTGTAGTTCGAATAAACCCTAATAAAACTAGCAGAGCAGTTCAAACGAAGCTCTGAATTCCAGATTTATGCAAAACACTGCGTCAAATTTCTGTCTATTTGACAGTATCTTTAAATAAATTACACTTGTTCCGATTCTTGTCTAACGAGTTCAGGGTTTTCCAACTTTTGGGTGCTCTGTGAAGACCCGACAAAATTTTTTAACTGTTAGCTCACAGGATACAGTCTATTAAAATTTCAAAATCCACTATCAACAGGCGGTACGAAGCACCAGAGAGTGAATAATTCACACAATACGTGAGCCTTCCACCTGGGAGCCAGTCAATAATGGACGTGAATTCCGAGAATGGAGAATGAGGGGTGTCATG